TTGGTTGAGCAGGCGCTTGGTGTTTGAAAAGAAACCCCGGACTTGGCTTCAGCGGGGTTTAATTCAGCGGTAGTTGCAGCAGGCTGGGCTGGTAGTGCTCCTGTCAGAGAAACCGCGCTGCTCCTGGTGCCTCTCTGACCCCGCTCCTGCGGCTCTGCTGCTGCGCCCGTCGTTCGGCGAGCGAGTTGAGTGGAAAACTGCCCCAGACCTGCTTGTGGAAACTCATCGGCTTCCTGACTGCGCTGGGCTTGATCTCAAATGTCAGTGCGAAAAGACTTAGTCGATAGCGTGTGGGGACTGCTCTGCCGGAGAAGTCTTGTATTAAGAGGAACCTGGAAAGCTGGTGTTCCGTAACTTTGGAGGGCATTCCGGCTGAGGAGTAATGTCCGGTAAATCAGAGCTGTAAGTGAGCAGCAGAGCACGTTTAGCGGATCAGGTAGGAGCAGTATTTGAAGGTGCAGCGTGTAAGGAAAAGGAGGGAATTGTAACCTAGCCCTAGAACCAAGTACTGCTGCGGGAATTTTGTGTTTTGTCCTGTGCTTCCTTTTCCACTTAATACTGATTTCAAGGCATGTTGTGATCCTTACTTTTCTTAGAAAGGAGTGGGGTAGAGAGGAAGTCAGATGTTAATGTCTGAATTCTGGAAGACAAAACAAATGAATAAAACAACCCTTACTTGTTCCGTGGTGATGCAGATGCCTTTCTGTAGCTTGCTACTGTGAAATGCTTGGCTTTCCTGCAGCAAAGGGGTTAAGGTTATGCCCATGCCTACCTAAAATCCTATTTCTCATGACAGTTCCAGGTTACTTGTTTTGATGTGATTATATAGCTTCTCCTGTTCATACTACATCCTGGAAATGCCGTATTCCAGTTAATTGTGTACAAAAATCAAAGTGTACAGTTCAGCATTGCCACTAAAGCTGGAAGCTGCTTGTGTCTGGGAAGATAGGTAGGTTGCATCAGTCACGAAGAGTAGGCTTCTGTTCTACTGAGTTATCTGGCAAAATAATTATCCACTGTACTAATGAGATTCATGGAGGTGTGAGATCTCATTCCTGAGGGCAACATACGGAGTTCGTGGCCACAGGAGGTGTGTATGCAGTAAGCTCCCCAGCCAGGTATCTGACTGGTAGTTGGTGCCAGTCAAAGCATCATATTGGGCTGCATTTCGGTTGCTGTGGCTTGATGTGGTGTCCTCCCAGCAAGGCACTGGTGCTGGTTTGCAGCGATGGCAAGGAAGGCCTGGTGTTAGTTCTTACGGCTGCTGAAAGTAACTGCAGCGTTCTGCTTTGTGTATGGAAATGAGCCCCAGGTGTACTTGTGCAGAGTAAAGAGCACATTTTATTTGAGATATGGCTTCTTAATAACTAAAGCTCTGTGCAGGTCTGCACTAATGAGAGGCCACATGGTATTTGCTAGCTCCAGATGGCTTCCCTCAGCATTTCCAGTGCTACCTGGAAGAATAGCCGCTTTTCTGTGCGGCTGATTGTCGCTCGGTTTTTACCCGATTGCAAGTCTATGCTAGCTGAGATACATGAAGAATGTACTTGTGTACAGTTTTGTGAACAGTAGTTTGCCAAGGTCGCGGCTGAAATCTGATCACCAACCACTGGTTGGTGGTGGCAGGTGGTGTTTCTTATGCCAGCTCCCTCCTTTGTCAGCTCACATCCAACATATAAGGATTTTTGCATGAGCTTCAACAAAGTTGAAGGCAGAATAAGAACCTGGCAGCTCATACAGCACCTATCGAGACACTTCTACAATAAAACACTGGCTTTTGACCATCTGGTTTTGTGCTGAAGTTACTGAATTCTGTAGTGGTTTGTTGCTTGATCTGAGTGTTTCAAAGCTAGCATGACACACAGGCAGAGACTGAGATGCCGCCCACACTTCCATTATGCCTGTTCCCAATGACCTAACTACTTGCTGGGTTTCATTACTGTATTTTTTTCCACTTCTATATACAGAACTAAACGAGATCACAGTACCTGTTAGTGTGAGCTGCAGTGCTAGTATGTACCCACTTGATTTCATGCTCTACAGAAATTCTCAGTGTTAGGGTGAAAGTCTAGTTTTCGGGAACATCAGCTCTCTGACGCTGGCTACTGCTTGGGCCCCGCGCTCTGGGACCAGTGTAGTAAACACGCTCTTGTTTGCTGTGCCATGTTGGTGAACAGCTGGTATCTACCATCTCTTCTGCCCTCATCAAAGTGATTGCTTAGAGAGAAGGTCGTCTTTTGTGTTCTTATTACTTGCTTTCCATCAGGCAGGCCATACAAGTGATTCCTAGTCCAACTTGCATCTTTAAGTGTGATAAGGAGGGAAAACTAGTTTCTCCAATATACTCTCCTTCCCTCATATGTTTGGGATTCAAGTAACCTCTGTGGGGCACATCACTCTTCAGCAGCTTGTTGGAAGAAAAGCCTTGGGGAGACGGTGATGGCTTCACGTGCTTTCTCTGCATAACTTTTCTGTAAGAGCTACACATACGAGCCGGAAAGGAGAACTGCAGAAGTGTGAGCCTGGTGGCTTCCTTTTGGCTTCCCTAGAAGCTATTAATATCCTGGGTCTAAGTTGTTGGATGGGGAAAAAAGGACAAGGAAACTGGGAAAGAAAGCTCGGGGTGGCTTTTGCTTCTGCA